AGTCATGGGGCCTGAACTCTGGGCCTGGGTGCTGTCCCTCAGCTCTTCAGCTCAAGGCTAGCACTCTACCACTTGAGTCACAGTGCCACTTCTGGCTTTTTCTGCTTATGTGGTGCTGAGGCAAGCGCTCTACCACTGAGTCACCATCCCAGCCCCTTAATAGGCTTTTTTATAGATTAAAATATACAATACCAGGGAGTATTCTAGCATAAATCCTAGTATAAATACAAGAAAGATATTCATAAAAATAGCAATCATGAGTTGGGAATGTGGCTTAGTGGTAAAGTGCTTGCCTCGCATGCATGATGCCCTGGATTCCATTCCTCAATACCACATAAACAGAAAAGGCTGGAAGTGGCGCTGTGGCTCAAGTGATAAAGGGCTAGACTTGAGCAAAAGCAGCTCAGGGACAAGGCCCAGGTCCTGAGTTCAAGCCCCAGAACTGGCAAGAAAAAAAAAAAAACAAAAAAAAATCATACCAACTCAAGTTCTGATTCAAAATAACCACCAGACTATAGGAAGATAGAGTTCCAAGTAGTCTATGATTTGATGTTCACTAGACTACTTTTATAAAATGGTGCAGGCACAAAGTTCTATACGCATTTTGTGGGACTGAAAACAGAAAACAAGTTTCCCTGATCTTCAAGCCCTTAAAGTCAAGCAATATCATCATTAGATATGAAAAAAAAAACGAATAAAGTAGGAATCAGAGCCGTTGGTTCTACAAATAATCTCTATGATTTCAGACAAATATGACTCAGATTTTCTCATCTATAAAGTAAGATAAACTAAGCTGGGAGCCAGTGGCTTATGCCTGTAATACTAGCTACTCAGAAGGCTGAGATCCGAGGATAGTGGTTCAAAGCCAGCCTGGGCAAGAAAGTCCATGAGACTCTTCTCCATTTAACCCTCTTAAAGTGGAGCTGTGGCTCAACATAGTAGAACATTAGCCTTGAGCGAAAAAGCTCAGGGATAGCACTCAGGCCCTCAGTCCAAGTCCCATGACCTACAAAAAAAATTTAGGACAAACTAAATAAACTAATATTCAAAGAAGTTCTAAAATTCTCTATTAAATACTACGCGGTTCATGGGTCCTTCAAGAATATAATTAACTACTCTCTCAGGTCATGATGCAATAAAGTATAGAAATTAGTGATGAATGGTGGGCCCCAAATAATCAAAGACACGAGAAAGTTAAAAAGTCCAGAACTCTAATTTCATTAATTAATTGAGCAACTGACTAAGATAGGGTCCCACTTGGTAGCCAGGCTGATCTGAAACTCACTATGTAACCTAGGCTGGCCTCTAAATCTTGATCTTCCTGCCTCCGCCTCCCATCTACTAAGATTATAGGTATTTGTTACCATACCCAGCTAGAACTCCAATTTTACAAATGTAAGTTTTAGAAGGACAAGTCTTCTATCTTATAAATAAATCAATATGTTTGATAACATTTCAACTATGCATGATAAAATTATCAATTAATTTATAATATTTTTATAACTATAAGTGATTAAATTCAGTGCAAATATTTAAAAACATTGAAATAAAATCAATATATTTTCTATATTTTCTAATGATTTAAAAGGTTAATCTGACTCTGGTGGCACATACTTGTAATCCCAGCACCCAGAAGCTTAGGCAGGGGAATAGACTTTGAGGCCAGCCTGACCTACACAGTAAGATTCTTGTCTCAGAAAAAATCCCTAAATTGGGCTGGGAAGGTGGCTCAGCGGTAGAGCGCTTGCCTTGCATGCATGAGGCCCTCGGTTCGATTCCTCAGCACCACATAATCAGCAAAAAAGTTGGAAGTGGGGCTGAGATTCAGGTGGTAGAGCACTGGTGTACAGATGAAGAGCTGGGGGACAGCACCCAGGCCCTGAGTTCAAACCCCATAATCAGCAAAAAAAAAGAAAGAAAGAAAAAAAATCCCTAAATTAACTTGCAACTATGAAAACAGAACATGAATACTGCTAATATTGTTTTGTGGAAGCAGGGAAGGCAGCAGGGAGAATGATAGAGGCAGTAAGATTGATTGGAATACATTGTAAACATGTTTGGAAATGTACAATGAAGTCTCCCTCTGTATAATTGTTGTTAATAATTTTAAAAACTAATTACATTAATTTGGCATTTATTTAAATCTAAGTCTTAAAAAGGCTGTTCTTTCCTTTTTCAAATTTTCAAAAACATATGAAGACAAAACTAAGAATAAAAGAACATAGGGTGTACTTCTGATCACAGACAGCTGTTACTTCTTTTTTAACCTTACATATTATATTTACATATAAAGTATTCCCCCTAAAATTATACTTACCAGCTTTATAAGATATAGTGTTAGTCTTTGCCACCGATTTTTTGTAACATAAGTATACTGCGGATCCCCACTAAATTTAAAAAAGAGAGAAAAAAGAACATTCTATTTTAAATGGCAGTAACAATGAAAATTGAATCTTTGAGTTCTCCAGTACAAATTATTTAGGACATAGCAACAGATATTTCTTTGTTGTTACCAATTTGCTATTTTGACAGCACTTCATGGGATCATTGCCCACTTAATTTTCAGAAGTCAAAGTTAACATAATTTCCTCTTGCAGAAGCAATAAGTAGCAGTTGACTCTTAAAACAAAACTAAGCCATAACCATTTAGATTTTATTCCAAGTTTCAACCTTGTCCAGAAATGATAAATTACAAAATGCCTACTTTGTACATACCTTCCTTCTGACTCCATAACCTCTTCTAAATATTGTCTGATTTTCTAAAGCCCTTTAGGCAAAAACTCCTTACAACTTGTAATTTGCCATATCCTTTTTCTTATCCTTTTCCATTCTTTCCTAAATGCATTTCAAATCAGGCTTTTGGATCTCTATTACTCCTTTAAAACAATGCCTTAATAATTTCCATGATACCAAGTCTTTCAGTTGATTGTCTTCATCTTACTCAGCCTCTCAGCAGATTTTACTATCACTGATCACTTCCTGTCAACTACTAGCCAGGCTTTGAAGTCTTGCTCTCTCTTCCCCAACAACTTTGAAGCAACTTCTTCCTATCTCCTTTGTGGCATCCCCTTTTCCAGATCAGGAAATCTGACTCCTCTCTTCTCCACTGTCTTTAAACGATATATATTCAGTTGCATGATATTAATTATAGCTACACATTGAAAAATCTCAAATTTCTAGTCTCAGCTTCAAAACTCTGTCACTATTACCACCCATTGTACACTCACACAGAACTGCCTGACAGTTTTCACTTTTCACTTCCATGCCTAATAGCACCTCGTATTTAGAATAATCATAAAAGCAGTCTTGTCCTTTTCAAACCAGCTCTTCTTCCCAATGTTTCCCACTACAGGGAATGGTTCTACCATTTACTCTGTCCCCAAACTCAAGAGCCACTCTTGACTTTTCATTCTGTCTTATACATCATCATTTCCAGTATAACCACAGATTTGATGAAGTCTACCTTCAAGATCTACTTTGAAAGCTGGGGGCCAGTGGCTCACATCTGTAATCCTCAGTACTCAGGTGGTTGAGAATAAGAGGACTGCAATTTCAGCCCAGCCTGAGCAGAAAAATCTGTAAGATTCCATCTCAATTGCGGGAAGCTACACTGTGACCCCAACAACAACAGGAAGCCTAAAGTAGGTGGTTACAAGATCAAGGCTCATGCCCTAGACTCTATCCTAAAAATAACCAGTGAAAAACAGGCCTGGCCAAGCAGCTTAGCAGTAGTGTGCTGGTCTAGAAAGCATGAAGCCCTGAGTTCAAACCCCAATATGACTGCAAACAACAGTAACAAATATCTACTTTGAGCTGGGCACCAGGAGCTCACACTTGTAAATTGTAGCTACTCAGGAAACAGAGAAAGGAAGGGTTGCTGCTCTACCCCAGACTAGGCAAAGAGTTCACAAGACTCCCTCTCAAGCAGTAGCTGGTGTGGATGTGCATAACTGTCATCTCAGCTACACCAGGAAGAGTAAAATAGGAGGACTGTGGTCTTAGACCATCCCACGCAGAAAGAAAGACCTCATCTCAAAAGTGACCTGAGCAAAAAAGGGCTGGAGGCATGGCTCAAGTAGTACACCTGCCTGGCAAGCATGAAGCCCTCAGTTCAGACTCCAGTACAGAAAGAAAGAAATCATTTTTCACTTGGATTACTGCTATGACCGTGTCATCAATCTCTCAGCTTCCTCTCTTATTCTTCAATTGTCTATTTCCACAGCCAGAGTGAGCCAGTTTAAATGTAAATCACATCATATCATTCTCAAGGTAAACAAACTCCTTGCTTTAGGGCCTAGGCCACAGAGTTGTACCTAAGCTGTATCCTAGGATCATTTCTCCAATCATTCTGGTCTCCCTACCTTTCTCAGACATACCAAGCCCATATCTCTGTGAGAGCCTTCACACTTTGTTTCCTGTGGCATTGAAGTTTTTGCTCAACTGTCCCTTCCTCAGAGTCCTTACCAAAACCTGAGCAAAGCATTTTGCATAATTCCCTATGCTCTTCAACTTGATGTCCATTTGTTGCTTCCAGTCATCCATGCTGTGCTTTACTTCCCCACTTAAATGTAAACTCAGTGATGACGGGGATATTTCTTTCTCCACCACTGTAATCACACATAGTAGTTCAGCATTCTCAAGTAAATACATAAATAATTACTACAAATTTTTGAAAAAAAAATTAGCTTTATAAAATAAGCATTCTTCATATAATCAGTACAAATGAGAAAGAGCAAGGTCACTGAAATTTTTAAATAATACGTAACAGCAAGGCATAGTAGATATCAAAAGGAAAAAAGTTAAATATATCAATATATATTAATATAAACATTACTATATTAATATATAGTAACAGTATCAAAATATATTAGCAAAATATACTAATATGTTAATATATATTACATATAAGATATACTAGCATATATTATATAATATATATTCTTTTTGTTATATGTTCTTATATTGTTTTTATTTGTATCTCTCTTTTTCATTTTGAGTATTTTTATTTTTGTGTTGTTTTATATATTATTATTTTCCTATATTTTATATTTTTATATATATATTATATAAAAGCAAAAAAAGGCTGAGGTATGTTAAAAGTGATAAAGTACCTGCTAGCAAGGACAGGCCATGAGTCAAAACCCAGTACTAGCCAGGCGCTGGTGGCTCATGCCTGTAATCCTAGCTATTCAGGAGGCTGAGAGCTGAGGGTTGTGGTTCAAAGCCAGCCCAGGCAGGAAAGTCCATTAGACTCTTATCTCCAATAAACCACTAGAAAACTGGAAGTGGTGTTATGGCTCAAGCAGTAGAGCGCTAGCCTTGAGCTGAAGAGGGCAGGGACAGTGCCCAAGCCCAGAGGTTCAAGCCCCATGACCAACAAAACAAAACAAAACAACAACAAAAACCCAGTACTGCCAAGTTGGGGTTTTTTTTGTATTTTGTTTTTGTGCCAGTCCTGGGGCTTGAACTCAGGAGCTGGGCACTGTCCTTGAGCTTTTCTGCTCAAGGCAAATACTCTCCCACTGGAGTCACAGCTCTACTTTTGGCTTTTTGGTAGTTTATTGGAGATAAGAATCTCATAGACTTTCCAGCTGTGGCTGGCTTAAAAGAATGATCTTCAATCTTAAGCCTCCCGATTAGCCAGAATTAAGTGTGATCTGCCAATGTCCAGCTCTGCCAACATTGTTTACATTAAGAGGCTACAATAACAAATTTCCATGTACTCTCACCTAGATTTCATATATGTTAACAATTTATCATGTTTACTTCAGATATTTAGCTTGAATTTTTTTCTCCAAACCCCTTCCCTTTTTTTTTGTGCTGGTCCTAGGGCTTGACCTCAGGGCCTATGCACTGTCTCTGACCTTTTTTAGTCAAGGCTAGGACTCTACCACTTGAGCCACAGCCCCATTTACAATATTTAACTTTTTAAAAATTAAAATGACATAGCCAGGCACTGGTGGCTCACACCTGAAATCCTAGCTACTCAGGAAGCTGAGATCTGAGGATCACGGTTCAAAGCCAGCCCAGGCAAGAAAGTCCATGAGACTCTTATTTCTAATTAATCACCAGAAAACCAGAAGTGGTGCTGTGGCTCAAGCGGTAGAGCACTCACTTTGAGCTGAAGAGCTAAAGGACAGCACCCAAGCACAAAGTTCAAGCCTCCACACAACTGACAAAAAAGACAAAAAAAAATTGAAATTACAAGTTTAACTAGCTTCCCAGCTTCTATTCTGTTTTTCCTGACTTAACCTCCTAATCTGAAGCTAATGCATTCATTCATACATACACATTAAAAAATTTTTTACTACATACATAGTATATAAATATATACATATGTATTACCTGCATTTAAATTTTTAATTTTAAAATTATGTTTTAATTTTTAAATTAAAACTATAATCTTTATAAATGTATTTTAAATTATTTAAATTTTTTAATTAACTGAGAATATCCTTTTGTGATTTCCCTCTTACTCATCAATGCTTTGTTTTTGTTTTTGTTTTTTTAGTGCCAATCCTGGGGTTTGATCTTAGACCATACTATACCACTTGAGTCATACCATTATACCACTTGAGTCATAACCCTACTTCTGGCTTTTTGATGGCTGATTGGAGATAAAAGTTTCAAAGACTTTCCTGTCCAAGCAGGCTTTAAATCTCCATCCTTACTCAGCCTCCTGAGTAGCTAGGATTACAGGCATGAACCATCAGCATCTGACCTCTTCTGCCTTTTAAATATTCTAACATGCTAAGTCTAAGAGTAATCAGAAGAAGAGAAAGTTATGAAAGACTCAAAGTATAAGCTTTTAGTTTAATAATTTTATGCTGAATATTCAGAAGCCTCGTTTGTTCTTTGGCTTCTCATTGAATCCTTGAGAAAATTAAATGAAGAGTGCTGGAGATGTGAATCAAGGGGTAGAGCACTACAAAGCCCTAAAATCAAACACCTGTACCATAAAAAAAAAAAAATTAAAGAGCTGGGAGCTGGCGCCTCATGGTTGTAATCCTAGATACTCAAGAGGCCAAGATCTGAGAATCAAGCCAGCATAGGCAAAAAGTCTGTGAGACTCTGATTAATTAATCGAGGGCTGTACTTATAAAAAGCACACTATACACCTGGGGAAAACCAAGTGACAGTCATGCAGAGGTAAGGACTGAAATAGGCTTTAGGTAAATGTCAGGGTTTTTTATTATTATTATTGTGAAAATACTGTACAGAGGGGTTACAATTACATGGGCAAGATAATGAGTACATTTCTTATCAAGCATTGTAGCCTCCTCCTTTGTTTCCCTTCACATCCCTTCATTTTCGACATAACGACTTGTACATCTCATTGTTGCGTATCCCTATTTAAACGATTTGTTTTTCCCCTTCCCCTCCACAAATTATACCAACATCAAATACAGTGAAACCAGGGGTTATACTTGGGGGAGGGATATGTCAGTTTTACTATACAACTTGCATAAGAACATTTGTGTAAGAGTCGAGTGCTGGTAGCTCATGCCTGTAATCCTAGCTACTTAAGAAGCTCAGATCTGAGGATCTTGATTCAAAGACAGTCCCTGGGAAAGAAAGTCCATGATACTCTTACCTTAAAGTGGTAGAGCACTACCAGTGTTGAGCGGAAAAAGCTCAGAGACAGTGCCCAGACCCTGAGTTTAAGCCCACGACCAACCCAAAAAAAAAGTTTTTGTATAAGAACTCAGGTATTAAGTATGAATTATTTCCCTACATAGATTTCTCTGATACTTAGAGCATACATTTAATATAGTTCTCAATTAAAAAAAAACTCTGATGGAGTGGGAGTCACCAAGAGATGATAAATTATAACGGTCCAATGAGACACACATTTAGAATTATACACACATAGCTTATATTTAAATAACTAAATCATACAAGGAGTGAAGATAAGTGGACTCAGGACTTAAACCCTGGGGCACGCTACTGCACAAGAGTTTGGGAAATGGAAAGATATCAACATAGGCAGAAAGGAGATGATTGGTAAAGTAGGAAGATAAAGAAGCAAGTATGTAAGAAGAAAACACATCCTCTCTCCCTATTTCTAGAAGGAAAAAATGATCATAGCTGTCACATATGAAATATTGAGGAGAACTGATCACTGGATTCAATAACAAAAAGAAATCTTGGTGGGATGAGGAAGACAAAAGTTTCACTGGAAAAAATCAGAGTGAAGAATGAGGTAATATACTTAACTCTTCAAAAGTTTTATTGTAAAGAACAATGAAGTGGGGCAATATAATAAGGGGAATATGGGCCAAAAAGCTATAAATAGGAGATCATACACATGCTTTTAAAAAAAACTCATGTGTGCATTTATTTTTTAAATCAATTTAAAAACAAAAACACACAGTCATGACTTAAAATACATACATGCAAATAAAACGAAGATTTTTTTCAGCTTTTCTCATTTGCTAAGCTTTTCCCCTCAAGTTTTTGTTTATTCACAGAAAGTAACATGCTTTTTGCATGTTGAAACAATCCAACAGAGAAGGAAAAATTAATGATTCATAAAAAGGTAGGAAACAGACGGGCGCCAGTGGCTTACTCCTGTAATCCTAGCTACTCAGGAGGCTGAGATCTGAGGATTGCGGTTCAAAGCCAGCCTCAGCAGGAAAGTCCGTGAGATTCTTATCTCCAATAAATCACTAGAAAACCAGAAGTGGTGCTGGAGCTCAAGCAGTAGAGCGCTCACCTTGAGCTGAAGAGCTGAAGGACAGCATCCAGGCCCAAAGTTCAAGCCCTGCAACCAACTCCCCCCGCCCAAAAAAAGTAGGAAACACTGCTGAAGCTAGGTATGGAAGTAGTAGACAAATCTGGGTGATTAGTGCATTGCTTTTGCAATAAGAGGGAAATTGTATATTTAAAAAAATGTTTAGCCAGGTGCTGGTGACACATACCTGTAATCCTAGCTATTCAGGAAGCTAAGAGCTGAGGATCCGGTTCAAAGCCAGCCTGGGCAGTACACTCCAGAAGACTCTTATCTCCAATTAACCAGCAAAATGCCAGAAGTGGAACTGTATAGCTCATGTGGTAGAGTGCTAGCCTTGACCACAAAAGCTCAGAAACAGTGCCCAGGCAACTGAGTTCAAGTCCCTGACTGGAACCAAAGAAAATCCCAAAAAGCACATACACAACTTATTCTGAAAGTCAACTACTCTCTTTAAAAAAAAAAAAAAAGAACTATCCAATGCTGGGCACTGGTGTCTCACACCTATAATTCTAATTACTAAGGAGGCTGAGATCTGAGGATTTGCTTGGAAGCCAGCCTGAGCAGGAATTATCTCCAATTAATAACAGAAATAGCCAGAAGTGGCGCTGTGGCTCAAGTCTTAGAGTGGTAGCATTGAACAAAAGAAGCTCAGGGACAGCACAGGCCCTGAGTTCAAGCCTCAGGACTGACAAAAAAGAAAAAGGAAAGAAAAATTAAAAAATTAAAAACAAGAAAATTGTTCAATATTTTTAAAACATATTTTTTCAATTCTGTAATTATGTTACATGCTTTCAAGAAAAGATTTATTTAAAATTATGCTCTTCTTGTTTAGTAGCTACTTTTATCAGTGGAAAAGAATCACTTACCATGCTGTTATTGAGATTCTTGTCAACTTTGCAGAATGTGTGTGGTGGACTTTCTCCTTTACTGGGTACAATAATACAAATGTCTGTGACAGCCAACGTATTCTGAGTCATGTTTTCAGAGGCTCTTCGGTAAGTGATGTAAATCCTTTGGGATGAGGCACTGCCACTAATATTTGCAGGGTGCCCATAAGGAGTAGTTTTAATGATTTCACAACCCTGTTTTAATCTTTCTTTCCAGTCATATAGAACCCTAAAAAGAGAAATTTAAAGGAATAAATACACAAAAACAAAAGCACCCTGAAATCTGAAAAGTAACTAACATTCTCAGGCATCAGGAATTCAACCTAAAATGCAGCAACGTAGTAATAATAGCCTATATCTTACTAGTTCAGAATGTACATTTTTGTATTGGAGGATAACTAGTTTTCCTATTAAAAATATAAATAATGCAAGAAAAGCTCAAATAAACATTTGTGGTTTTAATGTAAACCAGAAAACAAAAAATTAAATATAAAACATTAGTTTAGCCCTGTTATATTTTTATTTATTTATTTATGTCGGTCATGGGGCTTCAACTCTGGGCCTGAGCGCTGTCCCTGAGCTCTTCAGCTCAACACTAGAGCTCTACCACTTGAGCCACAACACCACTTCTGGTTTTCTGGTGGTCAATTGTAGATAAGAGTCTTACAGGCTTTCCTGCCCAGGCTGGCTTTGAACTCTCAGCCTCCTGAGTAGCTAGGATTACAGGTGTGAGCCACTGGCTCCTGGCCCCTGTTTTATTTAGTTATTTCATGTATTAGCTAGTTCTCTTCTTAAAACTGTCCTCTTTGGAAAAAGCAATTTATATTTGATCCCAAATTAAAGTCTTACAAAAGGCTGTACTTTTATCTCCAATATTTCCCTTCCTTTTAAGAAATAATATCAGCCTCTTAACAGTTGAAAACCTCACTTTTACTTTAGTAAGTCTGTATGAAGCCTGGTGCTGGTGAGTCACACCTGTAATCCTAGCTACATGGGCTTGCTAACATTTCATAATCAGCATTTTCATTACAGGTATGAAATAGTTTCTCATTGTGGTCTTGATTTGTGTTCAGCTGAGCATCTTTTCATATACTTTGTGTGTTTTGGAGAAATGTGTTAAGATGCTCTTTCAGGTTGTATGTATGTATGTGTGTACACTCATGCACCAATACAGTGACTTTAACACAAGGCCAGACTTTCACTTCTTTTTGCTCCATAACTGGAGATAAAAATCTCTTGGACGGGCTGGGAAGGTGGCTCAGTGGTAGAGCGATTGCCTTGCATGCCTGAGGCCCTGGGTTCGATTCCTCAGCACCACATAAGCAAAAAAAACAAACAAACAAAGAATCTCTTGGAGCCAGGCACCCGTGGCTCACGCCTGTAATCCTAGCACTCAGGAGGCTGAGATTTGAAGATTGGGGTTCAAAACCAGCCCAGGCAGGAAAATCTGTGAGACTCTTATCTCCAATAAACCACCAGAAAACCGGAAGTGGCACTGTGGCTCAAGTGAGCTGAAGAGCTGAGG